CACACACACACACACACACACACACACACACACACACACACACACACACATGCACACATGACAGTAGAAGGGAGGTTTGTTAGGAAGAACAAGAGGTTTAGTGGTAACAACAGAGAGCAATGGGGTAAATATGAGCAATGTAATATGATCTCACTATGTAAGCCTGGCTAGCCTGGAACTCACTATGTAAACTATTCTTTCCTTGAACTCACAAAGATCCACATGTCTCTATCTCCCCAAGTTCTTGCATTAAAGCCATGTACAACTATGCCTGGCCAAAAATTATGTTTTTTTTTTTAAATTCCCTAAAATAGAAATCTGTGACTATTTTTTTTAAAAAGTTTAATATACATTTTTTTTTGTTGTTGTTTTTCAAGACAGGGTTTCTCTGTGTATCTTTGGAGCCTATCCTGGCACTCGCTCTGGAGACCAGGCTGGCCTCGAACTCACAGAGATCATCCGGCTGCCTCTGCCTCTGGAGTGCTGAGATTAAAGGCGTGCGCCACCAACGCCTGGCAATATACATTTTATTTTAAAGTATACAATTTAATACTGTTTAGTATATTCACAAATGTTTGAAATCATCACACTTCTAATTCCAGAACATTATGATCACCCCATTAATGGCCATTCCCAGTCCACCTCTCTTTCCAGCCATCAGCAACCAGTAATCTACACTGTGTATCCTGGACATTTCATAGGAACAGAATGACACAACGTGCAGTATTTACTTTGGGCTTGTTTGTTTTGTGCGACACAATATTTTCAATATACAAAAATTTGCTAGCACTTTGTTCCTTGAATGGCTGAATAAAATTATGTTTATGATGAATCATATTTTGTTTGCATTCATGAATTGGTGGTTATTAGGTTGCTTTTACTTTTGCCTATTATGAAAAGGAATAGGCACAATACAAGTACTGGAAAATAATGCTGCTTTTAGTATTCCATACAAGTGCTTCTGAACATGTAGTCTTGTCTCTTAGAGGTTACCCAGAGGAATGCATTTGCCAGGTGTCATGGAAAACCTATGCTGCTTCTCTAAGAAGCAGTCAATCTTTTCTACAATGGCTGCATCATTTTACCTTTCCACCAGCTGTGTCCAACAATTCCAGCATTCCCATCTCATCATCAATAGTTGCTATTGTCTGTCTTGCTCTTTTACATTACAGTCATCCTGTATCTAGTTGTTGTTATATGTATGCAGTGGCATTTCATGCTCCTTCTTTTGGTTTTCATTTTCCTGTTGAATAATGACATGGGGGATCTTTGCTGTTTTAAAAAATTGTACTTACGTGTGTGTGTGTGTGTGTGTGTGTGTGTGTGTGTGTGCCCCACAGTGTGCTTATGGAAATTGGAGAATGACTTGCAGGAGTTGTGTTGGTGTTTCCTTCTTGGGGGTCAAATTTAGATAATCAGACTTGGCAGCAAGCACCTTTACCCACTCCCAGCATTCAGAGAGGCAGAGGCAGAGGCAGGTGGATCTCTGAGTTCTAGGTCTCACTATGTAGCTTTAGCTGTCCTGAACTCACTAGGTAGATTGGCTGGCTTCAAACTCCCAGAGATCTGCCTGACTTGGGGCACTGGCTCTGGGTAGCTCCTGGCAGTAGAGACAAAGACAGAGACTTGGCGACTTGGCCCAAACTGCAGTTTACTGCTGCCATGGTGGCAGTTGATCACTTCAGTCATGGTAGCCGAAAGTACAAGGATCAAAGGTTTCTGGCTGTGGGTTTTCTATTGGTTTCAGTTTCAGTGATTTTTTTAAATTTCATTTTCAGTGTTCTCTTTCTGCTGCTGCCTGTAGGTTTAATTTCCTTACCCCTTCCAAGTCATTATGGTGGATTCTTAATTTGTTCTCTTCAAATCTTCTTTCTTTTGTTATATGGAGATTTAACCCTAGAATTATCTCTCCAGGATGTGCTGTAACACATACAGATGTACTGTACTTTTATTTTTAATGAGTTAAAACCTTTTAATTTCTCCTGAGTCTTCAGGGACCCATGGGTTATTTAAAAGTATGCTGTAGAGTTTCTAAATGCTTCCAAACTACCAGCTCTCTGTTTATGGTTTAGATTATGGTTTTGTAGTATGAACATAGAGTTCACATAATTTCTGTTGTTTTCTCAAAATTTATTAAGATATATTTTATAGCCCACATGATACATATTAGTAAATGTTCGCTGTGTGCTTTCCATGCACTTGTACTTTGCTGTTGTTGGACTCAGTGGTGCAAAAATGTTGATTTTATTATGTTGGTTAAGACTTCTATCTAGGCTGCTGTTGTGGCACACTCCTTTAATCTCAGCACTCAGGAGGCAGAGGCAGGCAGATCTCTGGGAGTTCGAGACCACCCTGGTCTACAAAGTGAGTTCCTGGGACAGCCAAGGCTGTTACACAGAGAAACCCTGTCTTGAAAAACCAGATAGAGACAGAAAGAAAGTCAGCTATCTACTTTCTTTAGATTTTTGCTGACTTTTTGCCTACTCTACCAATTACAGGTAGGAATGTGTTCTCCCTAGACTATACAACTGGCTTTGTTTCCTTTTCATTTCTAGTGGGTTTTACTCATGTATTTGAATGCTGTCTTTTTAAATGTCTATGTCTCGAGGATTATTATATCTTCTTTGGAGAATTGATTCCTTTTCATTTTTTTATGACCCTGAGGATGAAACCCAGGGCCTTATTCATGCTAGTCAAGTGTTCTGTTACTGGTCCACACCTCCTGCTCTAGTTTGCTTTCTATTGCTGTGACGAAATAGTGACCAAAACTGACTAAAACCAACTTGGGGAGGACAAGGTTTATTTGGCTTACAGGTTACAGTTTATCATCAACAGAAGCCAGGGCAGGAACCTGGAGGCAGGGACTTAAACAGAGACCATGGAAGAATGCTGCTTGGTGGCCAGCCTCCTTTCGCTTGATCAGCTACCTTTCTTTACAGCTCACCTGCCCAAGGATGATACTTCCCACAGTGGGCTGAGCCCTCCTATATCAATTAGCAATTAAGGAAATGCTTCATGTGGCCAGTGGGAAAGCTTGGTGGGGAAGGGTCTTTGCTGCAAAGCCTGAGGACCTGAGTTTGGTCCCTGAGTCCCACACGATGTAGAGAATTAAATCTCTCTCTCTCTCTCTCTCTCTCTCTCTCTCTCTCTCTCTCATACACACACACACAGAGACATAATTTAATAATAATAATAAAAGAAAATGCTTCATTGGGTATGGTTTCAGGCCAATCTTATCTGGGCAATTCTTCAACTGAGGTCCCTTTTCCCAGGTAATTCTAAGTATGTGTCAAGTTGCTAGCTGAAGCTAACTCTGACACCTCCCAACCACTTGGGAGGCTGAGCCAGAAATACTGACACAAGTTTGCAGTCAGTCAGGGATGTATGACAGTAGGTTGTGTCAAACCCATTTATGTGTTTATATATATAAAACATAATAGAGAAGAGGAGATATGAGAAGAGTTGGAAGGAACAAAATAATATAATGGTATTTTAATTTTTAAAACTTGTAAAAAAACTGTAGTGATATTTTGTTTGTAATCTAACAAATAAAGCTTGCCTGAAGATCAGAGCGCAGAGCTAAGCCACTAGTTAGCCACACACCTAGTTAAGAGCTAAACCACTAGTTAGCCACACACACACACACACACACACACACACACACACACCCCCACACACACCCACCCCAAGCCACTAGTTAGCCACACAATAAGTTACTAGTTAGCCATAGAGGACAGGCAGTGCTGACCACACCTTTAATCCTAGTACTTGGGAGACAGAGGCAGATGGATCTCTGCAACTTCAAGGCCACCCTGGGCTACAAGAGAGTGAATCAGTCTAAAAGAGAAACAGAGCTCACACCTTTGATCCCAGGACTTGGGATAACACCCCTTTAATCCCAGTACTAGAGAGGAATATAAGGTAGGAGCCCAGAGCAGTCTCAGAGCAGTCTGAGGAGCAGTGCAGTTTGGAGATGCAATCAGAGGACATGATTCCCCTTTTTGTCTGAGCATTGGTAGAGGTGAAAACTCTCTAGTGGCTGGCCGCTTTGCTTCTCTGGTCTTCAGCTTGAACCCCAATATCTGTCTCTGGCTTTTTATTATTCGTGTAAAAACAACAACAAAAAAACCAAAATAAAAAAGCCACATACATTTTGAGGCAAAAAAACCCCTATGAAATAAAAAAGCAAATATTTATATAGTTGAATACAAACAACCTTTGCTAGTGTTTTGATTTATTGCATTTAACCTTTCTTTTTCTCCCCTCCTCCCTTTATTTTTTATAAAAATATATTTAAAATTATGTGTCTGTGTGCATGTCTGTGTGTGGGCATGCACGTGTGAGGACAGGTGCATGATAAAGTCAGAAGATAAAGTTGGATCCCCTAGAACTGGACTATAGGCAGTTGTGAGCCACTCAACATGGGTGTTGGAAACTGAACTCAGGTCCTCTGCAAGAGTAGTATGCACTCCTAATCACTGAACACTTCTCCAGGCACAATTTATATGGTTTTACTTTGACTTAATCTAAGGTTGCATACTATTTTCTCTCATGTAGTATCATTTATAGTTTATTTTGCTGTTGTTAGCTTTTAGTGATTGCTTTGGGGCTTATGATATCCATTTAAAATAATTGAACTTTGCTCTCATATAGCACTAAGTTGCTTCACATATAGTGAAAATTTAACAGAATACATTCAGTTTCCCTGGTACATTAGTACTGCCAATATTTCCAGCAGTTATATTTTAGGCAAATTAACAATAAGAAAAATAAATCTAGGTATGGTAGTTTCCATGTGTTCATTGTTTATGTATAGAAGCTGACTTTTATTTTGGTGATTATCTTATATCTTAGGATGTCACTGGCCTCATTTATTAATTATAAGAGTTTTCAGTAGACTACTTGGGATTTTCTACATCATCAATTATGCTATTTAGAAACGAGGATACTATTACTTTTTCTTTTCCTAAAAGTTTGTCTTAAATCTTCTCATACTCTGACTAGAACTTGTAGTAATATATTTGTAAGAGTCTTAAGAACAGGGGCTGGATCGATGTCTCAGCAGTTAAGAGAACTTATTACTTTTGCACAAGACCTAGGTTTATTTCCCAGCATCTCATGGCAGTTTACAACTACTTTTAATTGTGGTTCCAGGGGATCTGATATCCTCTTCTGACCTCTGCAGGCTCCCCCATGCATATGGTTCACATATATACACTCACATAATACATACACAGAAAATAATAAATATGTTTTAAAAACTGTTAAGAAGAGAATCAGTTAATTATTTCCTACCTTAGCTTTGAAGTGTGTGCTAGCTGTTGACTTTTATAAAGTTTGTTCATTAAGTTGATGAGGTTCTCTGCTCTCCTTAGTTTGCCAAGCATCTGTATTGTGCATGTATGCTACATTTTGCCAAATGATTTTTCTGTGTCATTTAGTATGGCCATGTATATTTTTTTACTTCTACTGTACTGGTTGGTTTTATGTTTACTTGACACAAGCAAGATTCATCAGAGAGGAAGGACCCTCCATTGAGAAAATGCCTCCCTGATATCCAGCTGTAAGGCATTTTCTTAATGAGTGATCAAGGGGAAGGGCCCCCAGCCCATTGTGGGTGGTGTCATCTCTGGGCAGGTGGTCTTGGGTTCTATAAGAAAGCAGGCTGAGAAAGCCATGAAAAGCAAGCCAGTAAGCAGCTCCCCTCCATGGCCTCTGTATAAGCTCCTACCACCAGGTTCCTGCCCTGCTTATTTCCTGTCCCCACTTCCTTTGGTGATGAACAGCAATGTGGACTTGTAAACCAAATAAACCTGTTCTTCCCCAACTTGCTTGGTCATTGTGTTTCAATACAACAATAGAAACTCTAAGAAACCTAGCCAGCTGCTATAATCACATATGCTAATTCCTTGCTCTCTCTACTTCTCTCCCTCCTTACACACACACACACACACACACACACACACACACACACACACTGTGAGCTCTCTATAACACATTAATGCAACACACATGAATCTGTGTCTATAAATTGACCCCTGAATAGTGTAGAACTTTAGGACACCAACCCTCACACAGTTATGCATACATATATAAGTGTGTGTGTGTGTGTGTGTGTGTGTGTGTGTGTGTGTGTCTGTGTGTGTGTGTGTGTGTGTGTGTGTTGCTAGGGGTAGAAACTAGGGCCTTGTGATGCTGAGCAGGTACTCTGCCACTGTACACTTTGAGTCACATGTGTAGCTTTTGCTTTCCCCAAAACAACTACTAATAAGCAGCCCTCTGTTGCTTTAAAGCTTCACAATTAACATGGACAGCACAACAACACTTATTTGTATATTATATGTATTATAAATAGAAGAAAGTAAGTAAAACACAGTC